GTTTTTAATTATTACTTGCCTTAGTAGAATAAGACCTTTAACATTGTAATCTGGATACTTCCAGCAGCCCCCGATAATTGCCCCCTTCCCTGCCCCAGGTGGGGTGACTGCACGGTGAGCTGGATCCAGGCACTGAGCTGGGTTAAAAATAAGCTCACAAAAATAGTGTTATTTTTAACCTGGGTCAGTCCATGCTTGGGTTCTCGGCGCGGCTGCCCAGACTCTCACGTGGGTGTTCTGGCTCGGGGGCACGGGAGGTGGCAAGAAGGAGCTGTGGGGGGAACCAAGGGCTGTTTAAAGCTGGAGGAGTGCCCCTGAAAGCTGCTTCTCACGTAGATAATTCCAGCTCTGAACTCAGCCATGGACTCCTCCATACCAGCTGTCTTCCTAAAAGCCTTTTCCAGGGCAACCATCACTGTTGACAAAGTTCCAGTAATGTTTAAGCACTTTTTGGTGGTGATGCCCTGTGTGGCTGACCTTTCCCAGGGGAAATTCTTTTCAAGTCTCATATTTGCAAACGGTGCAGCTGGCGTTATTCAGAGTCTGGCTCCGATGTTTTGAATATGTTTAAACATGTAGAACAAGAGAAAATAGTTGGGGCACATTACACTTCAGTATTGCTCTGCAAGGTGTGCTAAAGATAGATGATGAGTGGAAAGAACTGGCTGCTCATGCCATGCTTAGCACTGTGGTCGGTTCAATATTTGAATCACAGCTACAGCATTTAACTCATTTGTGGTGCTGTCCTGCTCTCCTACAACTCATAAAAGGGAAGATGTTTGGGCAATTTTTGGGGGTCCGTTTGTTGAACTAAAACTTGGCTTCACTTTGGGGAGGATGGAACACTGGATGACTCTGTTGGGTGATCAAGATGGATTTAGTCCTTTCATAAGCAATAGTTCAATAAGCAACTTGAAAGGGGCTTACAATAAAAGATGGAGACAGACTTTTAGCATGGCCTGTAGTGATAGGACAAGGGTAGTGGTTTTGATGTAAAGGAGAGTAGATTCAGACTAGATAATAAGGAGGATATTGTTTATGATGCAGGTGGTGAGACACTGGCACAGGTTGCCCAGAGAGGTGGTAGATGCCCCATCGCTGGAAACATCCAAGGTCAGCTTGGATGGGGCTCTGAGCAAGCTGATCTACTTGAAGATGTTCCTACTCACTGCAGGGAAGTTGGACTCTAGATGACCTTTAAAGGTCCCCTGCATCTCAAACTTATTCCATGATTCTGTGATTTAGCTGCAAATGTGCTGCCTGCACAGTGCTGGGGAGCAGCTCTGCATCCCCCCAGGGCGCTGCTGTGGGGCGAAGGACAGATGTGGAGACAGGCAAGGGCAGCCCAGAATTAGGAAGCACGGATTATTCTTCTGGAGGAAAACAGGGTAACTTTATAGCCTATTCAAAGGAAATAAAGTATTTTACTTCAACTGCCACCGTGTTATGTTTTGTGGCGTGCAGATGCAGCCTCTGTGGTGTGCCGATGCTCTCCCAGCGTGCCCCTGACAGCAGAAGAGTGCCGACGGCAGCTTCAGAGAGAATCTTCTTGCTGTGTAACACAGCTTAGTTCAGCTTAGCAAAAATGCTAATTACAGATGCTTGATGACAGAAAGTTAGGGAGCTTATAAGGAAAGGTTTAACACAAACTTGCAAAGGGATGCTGGTTCCCTGTGCTCAATACTGAGGGGTTGAGCTCTAGCTTTTAACATAGATTGCCACCTCCTTTGGGACAAGCAGTGGGTTTTGAAGCCCCTCAACTAAGTGGATGGTCTCTTAGCACTTCATACTAATTCCCACCCTCAGCCACGTGCATTTTCCTTGTGCTTCAGCCACCGCTGCATTGCACAGATAGACCCCAAGCAGCAGCAGCCCCGTCCTGGGTGTCAGACTGCTGCTGGCAGAACCAGGCACAGCTGGGGCTCTCCCAGGTTCATTGGGCTGCTGCAGCATCTTCAACTGACATGATCATGCAGTGCAAAGTCCAACTCTGGGGGTTAGTTTTGGATCGTTTTTGAAGGAGAGAGAAATATGCATTCCAGCAATTTTCTGCTTGTGGTTAGTTTTTTTTTTCCTCCCTTGGTATATCAGCTTTTGTGGAGCAATTTACCTGTGAACCCTGCTGGAGGAGGGGGCAGTCCTTGCTCTGGGCCATTTGTGGAAGAGTGGCACGTGGAGGACACCTCAGCAAAGCCTTGGAGGAGGCATATCATGACTTTTTCTAGACAAAAAGTGGCAGAGTTGCACATACAAAAACCAGAGGAGAGAGTTCACTTTCTAACAAATTAAGCACACCACAAGTAGAAGATCCCTCCCCTCCCATGAAAACACAGGAGGTGTGTAACAGACAAGTGTTGTTATTTCCCAGAGTCAGAGCCGTGCTCATACTGTCAGGAGCTGAAGGCTAAAAGCTGCTCTGGAGAGCAGTTCTCACAGGATTTATTAAAGCTGAACAAGCTCTCCTGCCTCTTCTCTAGATGGCAATTGATTTTATTGGAAAGATTGGAGTATGGAATGTCTTTCGCATTTTTGTATTTCATTTTAAGTTGGACCCAAGCAGCGAGTGCTCACTGAAAGGTCTTTCTGTGAGTTCGTGAGGCGCTCAGTGCTGTGGGGCTGCTGGCACAGCTCAGCTCCCGGGCAGGGGAGCTCTGCGGGAGCCTTCGCTGCAGGCAGCAGATCAAGGAGGTGTCAGGGTGCGAGAGGGCCAGCATGCAAGGATGCTGCAGGTACCTCACCAGGGAGGACCAAGATTATTTTGTCTTCTTTCGGTGTTAAGCTGTGCCTTTCACACCAGCTGAATTGGACTAAAGGTGTCAAGACTGACGTCTAGCGTAGTTTGGAGTTGTTTATTAGGGGGTGTGCAGAGCATCTTGTTTAATGCTTAACTGCATTAAGTGTTAGTGTGTCTGATCAGAGTGTCTCTGTGATGTGCACGCACAGAGCTTCAAGAACAACCTCGGCACATTTCTCATTCCTTCATCTGCTTGCTGATATAAATTTTAAACCTACATCATGCAAGGCTTTGCATATCAAAAGCAAGCCATGCAGACTGTGTTTTCATGGGAGGGGAGGGATCTTCTACTTGTGCGCTGTAATTTGTTAGAAAGTGAACTCTCTCCTCTGGTTTTTGTATGTGCAAATGGTGTACGTGGGTTTCCTGGGTTTTTTCTTACGCCTGGCATTTTATAGGCTTCATCTTCATAGACCTGGTATCACCAGACTGATACAAGCCTCAGTGCTGTTTTATAGCGTGTACAATCACGTAGCCTGTTATGGGAAGTGCTGGCCGTTCTGCTGCTGCTGTTTTCTGAGCTTTTCCTTGCCCACCACTGCCTCTCGTAGCCGAAGTGCTGGGGAAAAAAGGGGAAGAAAGCCATCCTGCAGCTCTCTCCTCCTGCAAGGAAACCTGGAGTCTTACACTGGTGTGATGCAGGCAGGCGGTGTCTAAATGTGGAAATGCTTGGTGTTACCATCACTTGTGTTTTGGTCTTGTTTGCTTGTGCCTTTGGAAGTGCAGGAGACCAGGGTAAAGAGGCGTGAATGTTGCATGTGAGATGGGGGAAAAGGGGAAAAAAAATCGCCCAGGAAAAAGGGTCCTCTGCATAATATCTGTGCACATCAGGTGCTCAAGTGCATGTTGGGGTGGTGTGAGGCACGTCTTGGAGTCCTCCTGCGAGGCCTCGGGTGCCTCGTTGCGCTGTGAAATGACTTTTTAAACATACCTTGCCTCCTTTTCCTCATGCCCTCAGAAGCATCTCCCCGTGTGTGGTCACAAGGTAAAGACAATGCAAGCTGTTTTGTTTGAAAGTGTCAGTGGTTTGGTGCACACAACAAAGTGGGTTTTACTGCTCTTGTTCCTTACTGCATACGTGGTGCTTTTTCCATCTTCAAAGCATTTTCCAGCCATGAACTAAGAGCACACGCATTAGCTGGAGCACACACCCCTCCCTAAGAAGCTGATGCCGGGCACATCCCAGGAAAATCTTCCAGAATGTGACACACTACTTTTGATGCAGAGAAAATGACGCCGTGTTTCATCAGCTCTATTAAAAGTATTTAAGTAATTGAATTAATGAAACTTTAAAAAGCCTTTAAGAGACAAATGTGGTACACACCTTTCTTCTCACTCCTTTTTTTTTCCCCTTTTTTTAAATATTTCCCTGTTTAATGTCTTTCGATGTTTTATTTGTTATCTTACTGTTTACTTTTTGATGTGTGGTTTTGCTGGGTTTTATTTTGTGTTATGGTAGCCGATTTCTCTCCTTTGCAGCATTCGTACTGTTACAGTCTCTGCAGGAAAGGAAAGTGTCATCTACAAAACAGCATGAGTATGACTGGAATACCTCATCTTTCATATTTTTGCAAACACTGGGGTTTTATTTTCATCATGTTCATTCACCTTTGCTGTGCGTGCCTGCCTTGCCCCATGGACTGTGCTTACATCTTCAACCCCATTTCCCATCCTCATGTGATCCCTCACACTTCTCTACTACCCCTCCAGCTGTGGATGTCCAACCTCCAGCCCCTCTGAACACACGTTGGCTTTGTTTTTCTCCCACCATCCCTGTAGCCAACTTGGTAATTTCTCCCTCCTTTTCCTATACCTTTCCTCTGAGCAGGGCCAACCCTTCCTAGGCAGACAGTCCAGGTCAGGTGGGATGAGACAACATGCTCTGCACAGGACAAATACCATCCAGGGCCGTGTGCCTGGCTCGCTGACCCAGCCTTTTGGGAGAAAGGAAACAGTGGCCCCAGAGCTGTCATATCTAGATGACTTTTTTGGGTGGCTTCAGTGTGGTGAGAGGCCATTGATGGAGCTTTCTGCTCTAGACACTCCCCGATGGGCAGATAGACAGGACTATGTGTGAGCTAACCACAGCTGAGCCAGTACTTTTGAGACACCCAATTTCCAGCCCTGTTCAGAGGTTGTTTTTTTCCAGGCTTAACTTCAGCATTTTGGCTGCAGTTCACTTTTTTTGCGCTCTTTGTTTTTTCAGGTGAGGCAGATGAAGAAGCCTTCGCTGAGGAGTGCAGACGGAGAGGACAGCATGCCCTGCCCTTCCAGCCGACCAACCCTCGCCTGCTGAAGTCTCACAAGCCCGCCAGCTCCCCCAGATATGCCTATCATTACAACAGCGATGAGGTGGAAGAGCAAGATAGAAGCCGGGTTACAAGCAGCTTGGAGACCCCTTTTTATTTATCAGGTGTGCACAAGCGTGTTGATGAGAAATGCGCAGAAAAGGATCCACCAGCTAGTCAGAAGCCAAAACCAAAAAGCCAAGCAAGAGTTTGTTGCTGTGTGTTGACATAATGTTAGGTCCCTGGCAGATAATAAACAAGAGCTTGTGTGTGTTCATGCTGCATTAGCTCTGCTCTTCAAGGTAGTCTAGATTCACAAACACCTGTGGATATTCAAGGATCGAGGGCAAATATTGTTATGCTGCTGAAGTGCCTGTGCTCTTTGTTCCTAAAAGTGAAGGCCTTTTAGAGGTTAACTAATCACAATATGTTGCACATTCATTTAGTTAAACTGTGCTTGGCTTAAGTTCACCAACTTGGTATTATTTCTGGAAGCTGCAATTTTAGGCACCTAAATCCTAATGCAGAAGGCTGAGACCCATTCAGGTGAATGCTGAAGTGCAGTGATCATCCCAGTAATTTTTGAAAGTAATTAGTCCTTTGATATATTTCCCGTCTGTAATGCTTTGGCAATACAGTCCAGAGGCTATCTTGGACAACTAAGTCCTCGTAACTACTTGATTTGCTTTGAACCTGTGGTCGAAGATCATCCAGAACTGCCAGGACAGGTTTTTCTGACACATGAAGATGCCTTTCTACCTGGATGCCCAAACCAAGGGGCCTTCCCATTAGCACTGAATTAGATGAAGTGCTGGGGAGTGTATGAGGCTTGAAAAACAAGCCCTGTACCCCAAGATATGTGCTCACATACTCCCAGTGCCGTACTCCCTTCTGCTGCATTTGTGAGCCTTTAAATCTAACACTGTCTTCTGTATGGAAGATGTGAGATGACAGCTTGAAAAAATAGAAACATTCACGTAAATATCTTGCTGATCAGTTGCTGGAAGTCTTGTCTCTTTAGGGATGGCTTAGTCAAATCTTTTCTTTTAAAGAACAAGAAGAAAAAAAAAATTACAGAAGCCTGAATGTAAACTCTGGGCTGATGTTCTGAGATCTCCCATGCAAGGATTACAGGTTTTGTCTCCCGTGTCAGTAGGCGGCAAAACAAAACCTTGACTCTGCATTTAGAGGTTCTCTGGAATCTTAACAATACTTGATAATGGTTTCCAGAGAGCGTCTGAGTTTGATACGCACCTTGCAGGTTTTGGAGAGATTTTTAAGATTGCTTAGGACCTTTTGCTGTGAATCTGTTTATGCTCTGAGATGCACAAGTTTGCAGTTAAGATGAATTTCTAGAAGTATTTGTGCAATCACAAAATCCTCTCTCCTGCCAGTAGATTGTGAATTGCCATAGAAGATTCAGGGTGAAAACTTGCTTGCAGTAAGACTAAGATTTTACTGTTGCTTTAAATATTTTGCCTGCTGTTCCTCTGATGGACAGGGCTGCTGAAGGACTGGTCGAGTCAGTCATAAAAACCTACGTGAGTGTCTTAATCCCTCCCTGGGAAGTTTGTGCACAAACCCTGGCCAGTAACGCTGTTCTCCTTCATGGGTGTTCACCTCTGCCGACTGCCTTGCCCGGCAAGCAGGCTTCACCAGCGCAGCTCTGTAATTATATTGACCACTTAATTGCTCCCGCTTGGCTTCTCGTTGGTCACTGCAACATCTGCTGTGCTTACACAAGCCAGTGCTGGGAAAGAAACAGCATCTTTTTCTGCCTTGGTCCAAAGCCTGCTCAATTCAGTGGAAAATAGTGAAGCTTGATGGCCTCAAACCAGGCGCTGTGGCACCTCGAATCAGAAATTTTTGCCGGTGCCGGCGTGTGGCCCTCAGCAGTGACGCTGCATGGCAGTCATAGTCGTCCGAGTCAGGGCTCCTCGATCAAATTCTCGGTCGTTAGTGATTCCTCTGCAGTGAAATGTTTTTCTTTCCCCAGCTCTAAGAGCAGGAGTCTTTGAGTTTTACTCTGTAAGCCTGTTGCAAGTTTAAATGAAGGACAAAGGGGACAGAGTTTCGTCTTGACAACATGGTGGGAATCCCTCTGGAAGTGGCCATCTCTCTCTAGCGCCCAAGGAGGGCAAGGCTGGCCAAGCCCTTTAGACTGACAACCGATACCCAGAGGCGAGGTGAATCCTGCCCTTAGTCAGGATTTCCAGTCATTACAGTAGGTATTTAAATAAAAAAAAAAAAAAAGACTTTAATTTGATCCTTCATCTAACACTGCATTTTAGTAGAAATTGCTCTGGGTTTCCTACTGTTCCTAGTTTCATAATGGCCTTTTAGAATAAAACTTCACCTCTTGTGCTCACCGTGTATCTCAAATAGTTCTTTAGCTCCAAACAAGTAATTTTTTTTGTAATAAGAATTCCGATACTGCAAGGAATGTGCTCCCTGATCGTATGATGTGTGGCTGACTGGTGGTATCCGAGCTGTGTGTAAGTGGTGTTAAAGCCAGCAGAGACCTGGGGGTTGCAGCAATAAAGGGTAGAGGTAGTGGTAGCTACCCCTAAAAAACGTACTTCTCTGGATTTGAGAGTTTTGACCTTTGTCTAGCAAGAATGGTTGAAATGTTTAATTGTTAAAATACTGAAAAATACATGATATGAAAGATCATTATTTGGAACATAATATTGCAAGGTTTGCTCTTCCTTTTGAATGAAATAGCTTGCATTAACTTAAACTTACAATATTAATCATTCATTTTCCCTGCATTTCCATCCACTGGCATCCCTGAAGAGGAAACCACTTTAAAATAACTTGCTTAACTAATCTTGATTCTTTCCTGGCATGGATTGCTCTGCTGGAAAGTTGAACTATTTCTACTTTATTTCATCTTTAATTCACTCTCCATTCTTTTTTTTCTGACATGCAGTTTCCTGAATAACATTTTACTAACTAGTAAAATTGATACGCTTGGTTATCTGAACTAATTACTTTATAATTCCCTCACGTACTTGTATTTGGGCATGTGATGCAAAGAGAAAGGAAAGCAAAGCCGCTGTTCTGTGGAAATCTAATACACGAGGAATCTGGAGGTGCGGAGATAGGAGGGAGTTTGCTCTCCTGTTGCTCTACATCCCCTGGCTGGACCAACAGCCCTACTCTCCTGCGGGCAGAGGGAGGCAAGACTGGCTGGTGGATTCGGAGGCTGGTTGGTTGCCAGAGCTGCCTTCACACGTGGTTTTTTTTTGGCTGCTAGTACGAGAGCATCCCGTTACCCGTTTGCTTCCCCTAAAAGGCGGCTGGGTTGCACATGGAAGGGCTTTCAAGGCTGCAGCGCCTTGCAAGCTTTTTCTTGCCATGTGGGAGTAAAACCTTGGACTCCAGTGGGTAATAGTATTACCTTAATTAATAGCAGGCAAGCAGGTTGCATCTGGCTTGGTATATTCTTGTAGCAATTCTTGACAGAATTGGTAATGAAAATAGTATGGTGAGCAAGCATGGAGGAAGGCCCCAGTTAGTTGCTAAAGCTTTTTCAGTCCCCTGAAACATCAAAGTTGGAATTACATCACTGGGTTGGCCAGTGAAACTGGAGAACTCGCCCCTTAACAGTGAGGATAATTAAATAGTGGAGCAGCATACCTAGACGGGGTGGGATGTTTTGTCACCTCAGGTTTTTACGTAGAGGTGGGTGCTCTCTCGGCGATGCTCTGTGGCATGGGCAGGAGCTGTGGATGTGGTGATAGAATTAGTAGGTCAAATTGTGGTGCGTGTTGGGCAGTGGCTTGGGCTGAAAGGAGGGAATGTGAAAGTGTAGTGAAAAACTGTAATTGTAAATTGAGTCACACATGTGAAATTATACTGAAGCTGTGATCCGAGCTGAAGTTTTATAATGGCATATGCAAGCGTGGTCAGTCCAAAATAACAGAACTCGGAAAGCTAGCAACTCAGAAGTAAGCTAGCTACCTCGGAAATAGTAATTTATTGTTTTGACTAGAGGTAATTGATTTTTTTCTGAGGCTTGAGCAGAAAGCACGAATCCCTCCTACTCCCAGCCTCAGTGCTTCAGATTGTCCAAGTGGAAGGAGGTTCCTCCAAAGTCGTCCCCTTTGCAGGAGATCTATAAAAATCAGGCCTTGATTATTGCCTGATGTGTGTCAAGAAGCAGCAATGCTGCGCGTTAGTTGTCAGTCGTGACTGAACACCTTGTTTCCTTCTGCTGACTCCTACGCTCTCCTGCACTGGCAGAAGGACGGTGGAGGAGACCTGTGGCTGCTCTCTGCGTCCTGGTAGAGTAGGCAGATGTCAGGCAGGGTAGGAAGAAGTAGGATACCACAAATGGGTTGGGTTAGGAGTGTTTTCCTCAGGACGCTTGTCCCTTTGGATCACTCACTCGATGTGCATACTTCCCTTGCAGCTGCCGCCCGAGCATGTGATGAGTTTCATGGTCAGTGATTTAATAAACCCAAGTCTTTGGGAGGTACAGGTGGCAGGGAAGTAGAAAGCCAGAAGAAAAGTCAATCTAGGACACAGCAGAGAAGCTTCCCTCTTTGTTTTGGTCCTTGCTGAGTGGTCAAGGGAGTTTCTGCTGAGTGTTGGTTTCAGCCTTCAGCAGCTGTATGAGAAATGGAATAGCTTCTGTGCTCTTTATGGTTGTTCTGGAAGTAGAAGGAGATGAAATGGGAAGCGCAGACGCTGTTTGTTTTAGACAAGGATTATCCAGGTTGCAAACCAGGTGTAATTCCGAATGGGGTAGATTCTTGCTTCATCCATCTCTGCTCCTGGCAGCTGACAAAAGCAAGAACGTACCAAGTTAGGCTGGTATCTGTCTGCATCTGAACAAATGTGTTTTCCAAATATCAAAGCTTGGTTCTCCCTCCACCTTGTAATGCATTTATAGAGTTTAGAGGGCTAACAGTTGCTTTTAAGGGTGGAAATTTGAAAAGCCCATCTCCCAGGTGGAAGCCAGTTCAGCCAGGCACTAAGTACAGGGAGGCTCCGTGACAGTTTGTGATGTGAACCAGGACACTGGTTCACTGCAAACTCATCAAGTAGTAACGGGACTGCTACTTCCTAATTCACATTTTTTGTCACTACTTTGGGGCTAGTCTTGTAACCAAGGCAGCTAAATATGCTTTTAATTAGTGCCGGTTGAAGTATTTGAGTGAAATAAGTACCGAAGGGTTACGTCTTTAGTGTGTGATTTTTACTTTTGGTAGGAGCTGCTTCACGTGTTGGGGTCGGGTTTTTGACTCTTATCACCCAGCACAGCATCACTGGAGCTAACAGATTGGCAAAGTTCAACCCATCCTTTCTCTTTTGGTGGAGGGAGAAAAGGAAATGGTGAAATTCTTTATCACAGCAGAAAAGATCTGACAGTTTTTCTCCAGAGGAATATGCTGTATTTGTGCATTATCTTTTACTTTGGCCAATCTGTTTCTGTGTGTCAGAGATAACACTTGAAAGATTTCCACTTTTCACCCTTATCATTCCTGGGACTGATAGGAGACCATGTTGTCAAATGCCTAAATATCTTCATACCACATTATTTTAACATTTGTGTTGTTTCATTTATAAGACAATGAATTACGTGGCACTCATTTCAAGTCATAATTTACATTGAGTCACAATATTTTTAAGGAAGGATTACTAGAATTGCTTTCAAAATCTCAACCATTCAAAGAAAAGGGGCTGTTGCAAAAAAACATAAAAAATGCAGTCATGCCTCGACGTGGAAGGCTTTTAGAAATACTGACAGTGTTTTGAGAATGAAAAATGAGAAAGTTACGAAGCTAGTAACTTGTTAGGGTTTAATGATCATTTCCCAAATATCTGTGTTAATGTTTCATAGTTATTACATGAACTAGTTCTGATCAGCTGATATGATGCTGTTTTTCCCTCCGGTAAAGGGAAGAATCCTTTGAATAACACCCCTCGGATGACTGATTTTCAAGAGTCAGCACGTCTTTCCTGCCTCTGTGGGGATACAAAGAGATGCTTGAGCCCTTCTGGGCTCTGTGCCTTACAGGAGTGGATTAAATGCCAAGGGATCCTATTTTTGACAATGTATAGGTGACATTGAAGTAAACTCCATGGATGGAGTTCTTAGTTAGGAGATGTTCACGCAGTGTCCCTGGGGGCAGGATCATAGCTCAGGAGGGTGACAGGGTGTGGGAAAACACAGCGTCACTGCAGTTTTGCAGAGCACTGCCAGTTTTTCTCTTCCTCAAACAATAAAACTGGTTTTCACTCTAACTTTGTGCAGGCTAATCGCTGATGGCAGAATTTCTAAATAAATATCCTGCCTCTTGACTCATGATTGCAAATGATGAAGTCATGCTGTTGGTACAGTGTAGGAGCTGGAATGATAACCTAGGCACAACTTCCCTTTGCTGTGAGGGGGTGTGTTTCCTCTAAGGCACAAGCTTTTGATAACATTTCAAGTGATTTCTAGCCCGAAAACTATTTTGTGGTTCTCCCCAAGTCTTGAATGTAAACCGAAGAACTGCAGTTCTGCCATGGGCACAACTCTTAAATGTGCTTGGGAGGAGCTCTATGAGGAGCAAACTTCTGCCACAGTGTGACTTCACCCTCTTCTGACCTCCTGCCGCTTCCTTTTCCCATCTTAATTTTGCTATGAGTGTTAAACTGATGGAGAACCAGGCATGATGGTGACAGGGAAATGTTTGCTAGCTTGGAGTTTAGATGCGGAAGAGCACTGAGGTAGATGCGGTGTTGGTTCTGCACAGCTCACTGTCCGTGCAAGTCTGCTAGCAAGTCGCATTTTAATGCAAGTTTGGAGGAAAGGGTGGGAGGAAGAGCAAGAATCTTTTTTCATGCATCTTTGCGGGAGGAGGCAAAAACATTGGGATGATGATCACGTGGCTGGGAGCTTGTGCCTACTGAACCTCTAGCAAATAATTGTTGCTTGAACTTAATGCTTCCATGCACCTTTGGAGCTGCAGTAGAATATATAACCTGTGGTGCATAGTTAAGCATGAGCAGGCTGATGGCCTGCATATAAAATGCCTATTGGTAAACACTGAGCACCTTCTTATTTACTCAGGATTCTCTGCATTCCCTAGTGTTAAAATGGAAATGCAAATACTGTGGTAACTCTGACTACTGTGAGCAGGAAACGCCAGTACTTAAATAGCTCCTGCTGTATAAGTCTTATTTATTGCTTCTGTTCTGAAAATTATACGGAGTTTGCATGTGCTCTAATTTTGAAGCTTTTCCTGAATGGCTTTGAAGTCTTTTGAAAGTTCTCCAGATCTTTTCAGACTTCAAAGATTGATAGTGTTTTCTTTCTGTCCTATGTGAGGGACGTAGTGGAACTGGGGATACAGTAGAAATGATCATTTAAAAAAACTACATTAGAAAGCCAGGCCTTTTCTTTAAGATTCCTTAAACCATTCAGAGAACGTGTGCTTTTGCTAGAGGGGAAATAGTCCATGAATGCTGTGAATAGTGTTTTACAAGCCATATTTCCTCAGGACACAAAGAAGGCAGCAAGAGGAGGAAGCAGAAGCAGAGAGAGGAACAGAAGAAGAAGAAGTCAACCAAAGGGAGTTACTAAAACGGACTTCTCTGCTATGCCAATACCTTTATAATAACGACAGTATAATGTTACATTTGAGCACACCTCTTCTGTGTATATTTTTTGATTGTTCACATCGCTAGCAAGGAAGTGACTCATGTTTAAAACTGTACTAAAATTGCACTATATTATTCTTCTTAGTTTCACGGAGTGGCTTTCTTGCCAGTCAAGTTAGGGAATTCGAACGAGGCAGATGTTGGCTGGAAGTGTGTTATGTCTGGAGATTGGAAGGCGTTACAGAATTTCTTACCTCTTCCTTGCCGGGGACGAAACGGACTCTAGTCTAGTGTTTGTTTATTTGTCTTGTAGGAGCTACAGGGTTGTGCCAGTGCCTGTTTGTTTGGTCACTCTGGCATCAACATCAGGCCTGTTGAAAGAAGAGTCCTTTTCACTCATGTCATTGGGAATGGGGTTGAGACATGAGTTCTTAATAATGCAAGTTTAATAAGTGACTTCTCTGGTTGTTTTTATTCCCTGAGCTGGGCAGCGAAGGTCTGTTCCCATGGTTAAAATGTTCCTTCATTTTAAATTGTATCATGAAGTTATAGCCTGATTTTAAGGAACTTAGTGTAAAGCTGGTCCCTTGTAAGCACTCCTGATTTCCATAAGCATAGTTGACTCCCGATGAATCATTTAGTGAAATCATTCCTTATTTTAAAAGTTTATTTTCAGAACCTAGAGACAAATGACCTAAGTGCTACTTTAAAAGTGCTTTTTATTTCTGCTGAATATGTTTTAGATAACAAACATTTTTTCAGCATCTGTATCAAGTTGTTTCTGCAAAGAAATTACACCTTTATGTGCAAAAGCATTTTGCATGAGTTTTATTGCAGGACAAATTTTTTTTAGCTTGAAAAGATGTCTTCAACTGAAAAAAAATATGTATTTTCTGGCAAGATTACTTCCTTACTTCTCATACTTATCTCATGTGCATGACACATTGCTTCCCCTAACCTTTTAGTTTGTACAGGGCCCTTCCGTTGCCTTAAGCATTTACCTGCATGTTTCCTGTCAGTACGTTGCCTCCTCTTTTTAACCTCCAGGTAGGAGTTAGCAGCTTATGGGTTTGTTTTGTTTCTTTTGTCTCCCTCTTGCCAATACGGTGTCAATGTAACAGACTTAAACCTGGCAATATTGGAAGTCCACAGTTCCTGGAGAAACTTGCTCATCCCAACATCTAAAAGATGTAGGAAAGCACGTAACGGTGTAAGGAAGAAGCTAAACAGAAAAATCAAGTGTGCATTGTAGCATGGTTTGAGGTAACAAATTCTGGTATCTCTGGTATCTGAACGGTTTAGCTTCAAATGCTTATGTTACCCAGTGTAACCCTATGCAAACATATAACCATACATGAACTCTGTTAGGGTATTTAAATTGTGGTTAAATGAAATAAGACCATTCTTCTGTCACTTAAGTACCACTTCTTTTGTTTTGTGCAGTGTTACTAGTATTTAAAAATAAAGAAAATTCTCCTTTATACTTTGTCCTCTTGCACCATACTGTAGACTACAGCTGTCATCAGTTTTTCATGTTTAGTTTCCATTAAAGTTTAGGCTGTAAGCACAAGGGAGAGAGTCTGCATTCACAAAACGCCCACAAGCATACCAAGTTATTCCTTTTGCTAAATCAACGAGCAAGTCGATACAGTCCCTGTGTCAAATGGCTGGAAAATGAGGCTTCTTTCTGCCTGGAAACATCGCTGTAAGGAGCGTACACCTCAAACGGAGCTCGCCCGTTTTCTGTGCAAGGGGCGCTCATCCTGGATCGTCTGTTCATCCTGGATCACCAACATTTTGCATTGCATCCCATTTGCATATGCTGGGAGAAGACCCTCCTCCCCAGAACGTATGCCAAACTTAAGCTATTAGTGCTCCTCATTTGCTGGGAAAATGGTGTGTGCTATGGAAGAGCAGGAGAGGTGGAGGGAGGGAGAGGTGACACTGGCATAGGGCTGATCTCCCCAGGCTGTCCCAGTGCTCTGAGCAGCCTCGCATCGCAGGGCAGAGTGGCTCCAGGTCAGGAATGTGCTTTGCAGAGTTAAAGCAGACCAGGATTTGGCATGTAAATACCTTCTTGACTCTGATTCCTGTGTTAGGCCTGAAGAAGGAGGACACAGCATTAATTAATTAGGAGACCTGAAGGTAGGCTCTAAATTAGTTAGGGAGCCTGGCGAGGGCATCCCCATCCCACCGGGAAGGTGCTGGTTTGCCGCTGCACTCCTACACCCTGTGCCTCCCGTGGGGAGAAACTCTGGGAAACACGAGTCTTCAGAGGAGGAGACCATCTTTCCTACAGCTACCAAGGGTCTGCCCAAACTTGCCCAGAAATTAAGAAATGTGGGCTCATGGCCATTGATCCCAATTCCTTCCTTCTCAGCCTGCTTATTTCTGGATTTTCACTGGAGGGTAACTGCTTAACTGAGCACCGTGAAGCAGGGTTGTCCTGGGTGTAGCACGGTGCCCACGGGTTGTGCTGCTTGCAGGACAGCCTGGACCTGGTGTCCACGTCTGCCACGTATGTCTGAGCAGGCACGTATGGGAGGTCCCTGTGTCCCAGTGCGCCCATCTGCCAGAGGTGAAGGCTGCGTGATGATGTGGTTCCTTAAGGTATGTGCTGGGGCAGGAAAAATGCAGGTGGGTGTGAGGCACCGCAGCTGATAACAGAAGGTGCTGGCCTACGAGTGGCTGTGAATAAATGTGTTGTGAAAGTTGGAAAAAGATTCCTGACCATCCTACAATACTTCTGTGGAAAAGCTGAGGACAGAAGCAGAGCTAGTTTAAATACAGCTCTGATGTGTTTTAGAAAACGTATTGCAAAATGATACAGAGCAAACACTGGGGCCCAAAGAACCAAAATGTTTTCAATCCCCTTAGTATCCCATGGGGAAATTAAATTATTAGGGTAGAGAATGAGTTGAGTAACAGCATAATTAAAATGCTACACTGAAAGCAAAATAATTTTACCTTAAGATAGTGGGCCACAATCACAAACAAACAAAATGCTGACAGATACGGGTTCCTGCTCCTCACTGGGAAGCTGCCACTAAGAAAATGTCTTAAATTCAGTTGTTTTTCCACACCTTTTAGAGATGTGCACAGCCTGCTCTTTGAACTAAGATTTGGCAAGACTTTGATCTTAAACAAATGATCTCAGAGAGTGTAGGTGTCAAAATGATAAAAATGTGTTTTTCAAGTTTTTGCCCAGTCTTTGCTCTGTGCTGCTGCCCATCTCCATGGGCAGACCTGTAAATCCTGCTTCTAGAGGCAATGCAGAATTGTTTTTCTCTATCAGCTTGGCTGCCTTTACAGACACTTGCTTTCCCCAAATTTCAGAATCACCTCATGAGCCTTTGTACATATTTGTTGAAATAACACACGGAAAAGATGCTTCTTTTGAAGAGTCAGGCACCCAGAAAATGTGCAGTAATCATTCGGGAAGTACTAAACTGCCTGTTCTCCCAACCACAGCTGGAATGCGTGACTGCTACCCACTTGTTCTTCAGGAATGTTACTAGATGTGTGCCACCAAACTGGTGCCTGTCGGTGGGATTAGCTTGTTACTATATTGAATGTTACTGTTGTTATTCTGCCTTTACAGAAATGCATTAATTTCCCTGTTTCTTCCTTCATTTTGTGTGCCGGTTGCGCAGGACTGTTTATTCCTGGGATGCACAGGTTAGTCCTTCCTGTATGTCAGATCTCAGTTATTTTCTTTGATGTGCAGTCCTGCTCCTTTATATGCAAACTTAGCTCACGTTTTAGTGCTCTCTCACGTTACCTTGCCTGGGGAGCACCTTACTCCCCTGTAACTACCATGCTGGTGCCTGTGTGTGTGTGTACAACTGCCCACTACTGGGTATATTCTCTTCCCAACAAGCAAGTTGGAATCTGGTCTTAAGAGCCTTTTTATTACTACCTGAAAAACTGCTGACTGCTACCTGTAGCACTGAAAACTCTAGACAAGGCAGCTTTCCCCTCCACTGATGAGAATTAGAGCAGGGCACTTATAGCCACATACAGATCTCAATTTTAACAAATGGTCATTTTTGAAACTATGATCGATTCACCTGCCTTGTGTCAGCACGCTTTGACTTCTCGCAAGTTTCTCTAGCCAAAAAGGGTTAGGTGGGGTGTTGGGAAGTGTCAGGTTTGTTAAGCACCTTGTTGGTGCCCTCTTAGCCCCCAGCTGTTAACTACTGACATCCAGAGAAGCACTTCCAAAGAGGCTGAGCTGACCCAAGCGTGGGGTAGGTCACCTTGCTGCTTTCATCACAAGCAGAGACTGCTCATGTCATCTGCCACATCTTGACCTACAGCATCAAGTATCTCAGACTTTCCTTCTGCCTCTCCCAGAAGACCTCATGTTATCACTCAAAACCAGCCCAGAAAGCAAGAAGTGAGTGTGAGAGGAAGATCAAAACACCGGTGCTTGTCGTGAGTTGGGATTTTTTATTTTTTAAGCTTTGTTTTTTAGTGCTTTGATTTTAGGAAAATGCCTCCGTGTCTGCCCAGAAAGTGGTCACAGATTTCCTAGGATGTCCCCATGGAGGGCACAGGACCTCACTGCACTGGATGTGTAACTGCATCTCTGCAATGCCTGTATCCATTGGCACATGCACCCTTCTACTTAAACAGCATACAGGATTTTTTCTTTGTCTTTTCTGGAAAGTGCTCATCCTTTGGTCAGTGCAGAGTGGCTTGCATTTCTTTAGGCTGCCGGTGGTTGTAGTTTAATGAAGTCTTATGATATGGCAGATTTTTTTTTTTTTACAGTATCTCAATATTAGAAGGTTGCATTTGGGAAGTTCCTTTAACTGAAAAAGCAAAATTTACTTCCAGGTTTTTCAGTATTTGCCAGTATGCAAATATGCGTCTTAAATGTTAAAGGTTAAAACTTATGAAATATATTTTTTCCCTGATTTCTGGAGTGCCAATGTGTGACATCTTTGGATGGTTCAATATGTTAAGCTGAGCAGTGCT